GGAAGTCCCATGGACTGCGTCAACATGAATATCGGCTGCAGTACAACCAGATTCATCCGTCCTCATCTGGTGAGGTCGACCAACGAATCTCTTCTTCATGCACTTTCATACGAAATGAAGTTCCCTTTAACAATGTTATCTCAGTAGATACATCGAAACCAAGTTTCTCTTCGTATCTTCGTATTATCTAAATGAATGGTTATTTAGACTGTCAGAAATGTTTGAATAACAATCCTTTCACCCAGGAGGAACTATACTTTTAGGCTAGGTTGAGCTTAGTCGCGTAACGAGGTCTGGTAATCTCAGTTCAACAGATAAATCTCAACTTTTATTATGCTAAGCTGGTAGTCTCTAGAGCATGTAATACCGAGCATATCCTGGTCGTCCAGTGAGCCGAGCCTTATCTACCAGAATCGATTGCTTCGGCCCACTTCAGCTCACCTCCCTGCCCTCATTAACCGTTACATGACTGCTGCACTCGTGCCAAATACGAGCGTGTTTCCTCTCCACATTCCAGAGGTCGGATCAAGTAGTTAGGCTGTCTGTCCACCTACCCCCTCACTCGCCCAACTGCTACCAGCTTTGTTGCGTCAGGCCCGACTCTAGTTCCTGTCGTGATGACATCAGCAACAGTGGTCAAGACCGGTCTGTCTGATGGTGATGCCGAGAAGGTCATGCAGCCAGACACACGCTCGTCCAGACTGTCGGCAGCTGATCCGGTTGCCAGCCTCTGCCGCTCGTCTAGCCGGCCCAGAGACGACTGGTTACGATACGGGTGGTGTGATTGGCCTGGTGTGACAATCCATACAACTTGAGTGGGCTGAGGTGCTCGACCGGAATGGAATGGCTTGGGTTCGCGTCAGTTGAGACTTGGGTGGCGATGATGAAACAATTAGGAAGAAATTCATACATTCGCCTCCCCTCTTATCACAATATTGTTGAGGACGGCACTGTTGGGTCGAACGTGAGAGTGACCTTCCTTCTGATCCTAGTTGATGACTATCGGTATTTCGTGAGGCCACTTTAAGAGTGGAGTTTTGTCTTGGTTACTTGGTCCCATGGCCATTGGCAAATGGGATAATCACTCAGTCGCATTCACGAGAACGGCAGATAGATGACTGCGGCCCACTTGGAGCATCCTCTGACGCGGCAGAAGAACTGACGCCAACACAACAGAATCAGTGATTATGGTGGCGAAGGTGGGGCCGACTTCTCTGTTGCTAATGCTGACTGTGATTTCAGGGGGGAGGGGGGACATGTATAGGTGTCATTATTGGTGTCGGCAAGTTTGGTGTTTTATGGTGGGGCTGGCGATTGGCCCAGTTCTTGTTGGCCTTGGAGATGCAACTGAGCCGCCTTCGTAGAAATGCCAGTTTGGCCCGGTCTGTGAACCCATCGTTTGGCATATACGTGGAATGATGGAGAACGCTTTTCCGTTTTTCCTAACTCGAGTTTGGGGAATAAAGCTTCGTGAGAAAGGTTTGTAATTAAAGCTAT